CTCTTCTTTGCTCCTGCCCCAACATCACATGGTTTTTAGTGCAAGAGCTTTGTATCGTCTCTTCACGTCTGTTAAGGAAAGTGTCCCCTTTTAAAATTTTAAATTAAAATATATATCCAAAATTGTGTGTGTGCGCATGTGTGTGTGTGTGTTTATGGCAGCAGCCAAAACCACCACTTGAATGGATTCTGTTGTCATATATTTTTCACATACTATTGCCTCTGATTGCAAGCTTACGACTTCATCTGGTGCTCAAAGATACAGAAATCTGATCCAAATCATAAACAGAAGGGAAACCTATATTTTGGGTGGAATCACTTAGAAACTGGGCTCAGCTGCTAGGAACACAGGCTCGAAAACAGTGGCTTCAGTCAGGGTCCAGGCTGCTCGGTGGCGTCTGGTGGAAAGGACCGGCTTCCCTCCACACCCGTCATGCACCTGGGCCTTCCGTTCCTGCTCCTCCACCCTCAGCTCATGCTTCCATTGGACCTGACGTTTCATCCGGGTCGTGAGGTGGCTGCTGATGCGTCAGCCATCACCCCTGAGTTCTAGGCTGGAAGATGGAGGAGGACCCCGTCTTCCATGAAAGCCCTCCAGACACTCTTTTCAGAATTCTTAAATTTTTTTAAGAAATTCACTCACATCAGAAATGTGTCCCAAGCTCACCCCTATGTGTACAGGAAGGAAACATTAGTTTTATGCTGGGCACATTGTAACCCCGAATAAAACATGGTCCTGCTGATGAAGCAGAAGAGAACGGACGCTGGGGGAACCTGGCTTCTTGCTGGACTCGCTGAGAGATGGCGTGCGGTGCTGGACACAAGCCTGTGCACCGTCACACTCGCCAGCTGCCTCCAGGGGTTCCCACCTCTAAGAAGATGCTCGGTAGGGAGGGGGTGCAGGGACCTTGACCAACAGGAAGCAGGAGATTGGAGGGCACCAGGGCTAAATGTCAGTCTCTGTCCCACAAGGACTAGGCTGAGTGGCTTCTCACAAATCATCCGGGACGTCTTGCCAAGGAAACAAACCCGTTGAGAGCTCCCCTCCCCCTGACACACCCCCGTACCGTTTCCCCCCAGGGAGCGGGCGTTCAGCCTGGGTCAGCTCTGTGTTCCCAGTGCCACCAGCAGCGTGGGGCTGTTCAGCTTGGGACGCTGATTATTTTTACTTGCAGTGACAACACACACACATGTGCTTTTATGACGGAGTTGCCTGAAGGGAGGGGACGTGTCACCACGCAGCAGCAGTGGCCCTTTCTTTGCTCAGTCACACCTGATAGGAAGCACTGCTGCCCCACAGCCGACGGTGGGCTCCACGGTGCCTACAGGTGTTCTTGCCTTTATTGTCTGAAAAGAATAGACGTGACAAAACCCACTTTCACTCAGTCAGGAGAGTTTACTGATGACAAGTCATTAAGTTGCTGGTCCCAGAAAGAGCAGCATGACACGCACACGCTCCCACTAACTCAGGCATGATGAAATCCAGAGAGGACATCCGCGAGATCCAGGCTGCTTCTTCAGTGCACAGATTTCTGCCTGTGTCACTAAAGGACAGAGCAGAAATCAGGACATGCACAGGGAGACAGGACCTTCGTGCAGGAGCAGAAGGAGGTCGACTTGCAGGATGGCTGTGTATTACGAGCCCAGGTGTGTCCCCCACCGCCCTGGTGGACACAGCTCGTCTGGGGCAAAGACACCAGTGGGCCTAATTCATCCGGCCATGATGTGACACATCTTTTCCTGAGCACCTGGTGTGCCTGGGTGCCGATGACCCCAGAGCTAGGTGCATGTGCTCGAACATCGGTGGTGGGTCTTGGCTGCTGGGGGTCAGAAACCCCTTTATAATCAGACGGATGTCGGGTTCTAGCACCGAATGTGTAGTGAGGGACCCACACATTTCACAGGAGACGTCCTCTCGGCCCCCGTGCCCGCATCTCCGTCTGTTCCCCTGTCTGTCCCCCATCTCCGTCTGTCCCTCGTCTTTGTCTACCCCTCGTCTCCATTCGCCTTCTCACCCCCCAGCTGTCCTGCCTGCTCTCTGCGGGTTCTGAGCCCTTGGAGGCTGGGCTCTGGGGCTGGATCACCCGGCCTCTTTGCTCCTGGACTGCAGTGAGGTTCAGCCAGTGGAAGGCTCCAGAAGGAGAGGGGAGGTGGGAGAAGACAGGTTCCTGGGGAGGGTCCTCTCGGGCTTCCAGCCCGGGGGTGGCAGCAGCCTCACTGTCACCTGTTCCCGGGTGTTGCCTGGTCCCATGGGCCACCCCACCAGCCTCTGATGCCCTTCACCAGGCATGTCGGCACCTGTTTCCACTGGGTCCTTGACACATCTGTGAACCCCATTATGCCCCCAATGTATGTCCGCACTTCCCGCTTCAGGATGTGGACACCGAGGCCACTCTCCAGATGGCAGATGGCGACCTCTAGTTGGAAGGGGACACCCACTAGGCCCTGAAGACACAGTCCCCTATCCACTAGCCGCATGACCTGCCCCCGGGGGCTCACCAGCGGCAGGCAACGGGCTAGGATCCCGGTGCGGGGGACGCAGCGTGGGGGGTTGATCTCGTTCAGCGAGAGGCAGCACTTGGTCTGGCACTCGCTGTGGTCATCGCACAAGGCCCCGATTGGCTGGGGGGGACGCAGAGACCAGAAGTCACCCCAGACGCCGGGACATCCATGCACCGAGCAGGACCCCCCCCCAGCACCTTGCGCCGCCATATAACCTGGCCCCAGCAGGCACCCGCCCCCCGCTCTCACCTTGCGCCACTCTATGCACTGGTAGAAGATGGTTCTGAGCTTGCAGAAGCGGCTTGCGCTGATGCTGTTGGTGACGCAACAGTCGCTCTGGCACTCACTGTGATCCCAGCACAAGTACCCAGCGGGCTGCGGGGGGGAAAAGGTCTAGCCCTTTCTGCCTGCCGGCCCTCCTCCCCAGAGGCCTGTGGTCCTGCCGGCCCCAGGACACACCTTTTGCCAGGGCACGCAGTGCAGGAAGACGGTCTTGGCAGTGCAGAACTTCTGTGGGTTCAGGCTGTTGACGACACAGCAGCCACTCTGGCACTCCATGTGCGCTTCGCAGGCCTCGCCGAGCCCCTGTAACGCCAGGGCCTGTGTCCCTGCTCCTGGGGCCGCTGCAGACCCAGCTTCCCGCGAGGGCCACCCCCTGCTCGCTGCCTCCCGGGCCTGCCTGGGTCCCACCAGCTTTCAAACAGAGCTCTCCTCTCTACTGAGGAGCTTTCTGGAACATTCACAGACCGGGATGGGCGGAAAGGGGAGAAGGGAGATAACAGCTGTCTGGGTCTGTCCTGAGCAATGTGGACAGAGGGTAAACTGAGGACCGAGGAAGGAGGAAGCTAAGGAGTGGCCGAGAAGCAGGGCGGGCGAAGGGCGTCCAGGTGCTGTGACGCGCGCCTCACACGTGCTCACGTTTCCCAGAGATGGTCAGTCACTTGAACAGGCCCCAGAGCCAACGAGGAGCTGCCGCTGAGGGTCAAGCCAGGTCTGCCGCCGCCCAGCGGCTGTCGCAGTGAGCTCGGCCTCTGACCTCACTTCTCAAACCTCTGGTCGCAAAACTCTTTTACAAACTCACAACATTACTGGGGGCCCCGGAGAGCCGCTGCGGGCGTGGGTTATATCTCCTGGTGTCCAGTGCAGTGGATGCTAACATGGAGAGAAGCTTTACATATTCATGTATTCGTTTAAAAATAATAAACCCACCCCATGTTAATGTAAATAACATTGTTATGAAAAATGGGTATCGCTTTCCTAAACAACAAAACAAACCGTGCTCAGCAGAGTGGCACCTGTGTTGCAAGCTGGCGTCTCATGCAGCCTCGATTCTGCCTGCTGAGCTGTCACATATACTGTGACCCGGGGGGAATGCCACCACATGCTCGTGGGAGCACGAGGGTGAGCGGGCAGACCACCCCTTAGAGTCCTCAGAACATAACTGACCTGGGGACCCTCCAGACTGGCCTGGAAACCTGGGCCCAGAGCCACTGGGAGCTGCTGCCTGGACTCTGGAGGCT